CTCTCTCTCTCTCTCTCTCTCTCTCTCTCTCTCTGTCTGTCTGTCTGTCTGTCTGTGTGTGAAGAGGAAGAAGAAAAGAGGGAGGAGGAGGAGAAGAAGAAGAACAGTGGCTATGGAGGAGTGGAGAAGAATCAGGAGAATCAGGAGAATCAGGAGAAGAAGAAGAAGAATTCTACTCTCTCACGCACTCCTGAAGACGATGCCGTGAATACTGACCAGCGAAGGTGACGACTCCCGATGCAGGTCGCTGCTGAAGGCCGTCCCATGACCGGTATGAAGTCCCAGCTATGGCGCCCAGGTAAGTCTCTCTCTCCCTCATGGACATGGCGTCCGCCAAACCTCTCCAACCCAGCCTACTCCTCTAATCCTCCAGCGCTGCTCTATAGCAGCTCTCCCCAAACTGGCGCTGCTCCAGCAGCATGACGCCCAAAGGAGGCTCCAGCCCGAATGGCCCCAAACTGGAGGATTGGCCCAGCTATATACCGCTGGGCCTGGCTGAGCAGTCCTCGGTCTGTGATCAGGACCGTCGGATCTGATGTCCGATCGATGGTCCTGATCGCAGGCCCCAGTCCTGGTCCTACGATCCTGGCCAACAACGGCCTGCCTGGGTCCCTACCCGACGTCCAAGCAATCCTGCTGATACAGCAGGGTCCTGAGGACTGGGACAGGCACAAACAGACAAATGCATGGTCCAGTCCCACAAACGGACAAATCTGAAGCTGGCCTACAACGGCCGAAACTGAATCATCACGCAGCAAAAATAATAAATCCTGGAATATGGTCGTGGGCCTCCAGGTCGCTCACCAAAAATGGGTGTGTGGCCTGGGGGCCTGGAACAACCATCGGGCCCCAAAACAGGGCCCGTGTCGAGTCCTCAGCATGCTACACCACCCTTTCCATCCTCCCGGATAGTCATCTTTGGGGCCTTTTGGGGCCTCAACCATTTTAAAAAGCGACCTCTTCACTTCCTGAAACTCGTTCGGTACTCAGCCGGATGCAGATCCATATGGTTTGACAGAGCAGACCTGGAGGTACTGTCCACTTAATTACCACTTTGGACAATTAACTCTGACGTTCGCGGCCACGATTTCGGTGTTGTTTGAACCAAGACCGTCAAACTGGTTTGGTACCCGGCCAGACGAGGTTCCATACGGTTTGACAGAGCAGACCTGGAGGCACTGTCCGTTTATCTTTCATCCGTCGACAAAGCAAAAAAATCGCCCTTGGGCAATTAACTTCGATGTCCGCGGCTACGATTCCCGCGTTGTCTGAATCAAAACCGCCAGGCCCTACTGGCCAGGACCCGGTAAGGCCTGACGATTTCCGTTCAAAGAACACTGAGATCGCAGCCAGGAGCGTCGGAGGTAATTGCCCGAAGGGGTACTTGATGACAAAGTCAAACCACTGTCCCTCCGGATCCGTTAAAATCGAGAGGATACCATGCGCAAAGACTACGATTTTAACATGGTCCCTGCGCAGAGAACATAAGCATGGTCCATGCGCAAAGGATGACAAGACAGACATGCATAAAATGGTTCAAATTTAAGAAAGAAAAAAAAAGAAAAGGGATTAAGCCACCACTTCACACCCCCGGCAAAACGAATAGGTGGGTAAATATATTTTAGTGGCAACATTCCAAATTTGGGGCTACCGGATGAAAATGGCTGGGGCCGCCAGCCAGAAAGCAAAAAAAAATTGCGCCAGCACCAGTTCTCGTCTTTTCTTCGCACACGCGCGGCACAATTCAGGTCAGGAAAAAAAAAAAAAACAGCCTCAAACGTGGCGGTGGGTTAAACCACCAGTCCCAGCCCCTCCTTCCTCCTAAAAAAAAAAACGCTTTTTACCAAGCCGTGGAAGGCCTAGTGGACCCAAGGGGGGGTACTGGGGATGTGTGCTAAATTCTTAGCACCCCAACTTGGGCGATTTTTTATTCTCATTTCCAGAGTGGAAAAATCTGAGAAAAATCAGGGATGTAGAGCATGGTAACCCCGGGCCCGGACACTGCCGGACTGTCTTCTGGACTAGTGTCTGGACCAGTCCGGACTTTCCGGTGAGCCGGACATCACCGGACCCGGACAGTCCGGACCGGTGCCAGGGGGTGCAAAACGTCCGGACCAAAAAAACAAAAAAAACGGGGGTGGGGGTGTTGGCAGGCACTTACCTGCTTTCCACTTTGTAGTTCAGGCAGCAGAGCACGTGTCTTGCAGCTTATCAACAACCACATTTAACTAGCAGACAAGCAGAGTTGCAAACAGTGTAAAGCAGGCACAAGACTAAAGAAACAGAGATTTTTTTTTTGAAAAAGGTATGATTAACTTTGAACTTCGAACTTTGGATTTAGTAATTTAAGTTCATAACTTCATATATAACTTAAAAGTTCGAACTGCAGTTCAATTCAGAACATCAGAGTCTTTAGACTGGCAGCACTGTCAGTGCTCTCTCTCTCTCTCTCTCTCTCTCTCTCTCTCTCTCTCTCTCTCTCTCTCTCTCTCTCTNTCTCTCTCTCTCTCTCTCTCTCTCTCTCTCTCTCTCTCTCTCTCTCTCTCCAACGGGCAGCAGCGGCGGGCAGCACGTCGAAACGGCCACTTTGAAATTGCTCGGGCCTGTGTGAAACCCGCCACCCCAAAAACCTGCAGTGCCTTTTGTCCAGACCTCTAGGCCCTGTCTGGTGGGGTGAAATGACACTGAAAAATCACCCCGTTATTTTTCGAGCGTTATTTTTCAAGGGGCGGCCAGGACCCGATTAACATCCTGGGCCGCCCACTTTTTTTTTTTTTGCCCTGGGGCCCTCCATCCGGACACAAGGACTGGACACCGGACACCGGACATGTTGTTCCGGACTGTCTGGAACCCAGTCTGGACGTCCGGACGGTTACCATGATGTAGAGTAGGTCAGATCACATTAGAGACAACACACACACACACACACACACACACACACACACACACACACACACACACACACACACATTTTGGGCACCGTAAAAAAAAATTGTGCCAAAACAAATGCATATTTCGATTGAAGTTGCTGTCACCAAGGTCCGAGTGATGTTTCACACTGGACAGGCCCGGGGGATCATTTTCGGGGTTCGTACGAATAGGCTCAGTAGGCCTGGTGGATTAAGTATTAAAATTGTAAAATACCTGGCAAGTGTTGTAAGGTGGTGCCAGAAGTGGCTGAACAGTAAACACCAGGAACTGCCGATAAGTGACAAATCCAGAATTCGACTCCTGATTAGAGTCATCTGGATATTATGATAATGTTAGCTGCTAGCACCACGTCCAAAAACAGAAAAAAAAAAAAAGAGATGTACCGGGAAAAAAAAAGAGGGCAAAGGAAGAGGTCTCAAAACCGCTGGATTCTGGTCACAAGAAAGCAGGTAGAAGTTGTACATCAAAGAGCATGTACACTAGTATAGCTGTCGAGAAGACAATTGACGCTCCGAGAGTTAACGCTCCCGAAAATGAAATGCAGCTCAAACACAACCCATATATGTCAGACCTTGATCGAACAGAATGATTAAGGAGCGGCAATCAATTAGACAAAGAAGGGAGGAGGGGGGCGGCGGGGGGGGGGGGGATTACATTTACAGGTGGAGAATATAACACCTGGACTCGGATCCTCAAAATTGTACCGCAGCTCAAGCCTCTAACGCTAAAAACGGATGTCAGGCCTGGTTATTTGTTGATCCTAAGAACAGAAAACAGCTAAAAAACACAAGGAAAAATGTACTTCCGGCTTTGATCAAACTGCATTGATGAAGAATGAGCGAGAAACGCACACAGCTCAAGTGCAAGAAATACATGGCAGGTCTTGTTTGATCTCAAGAACAGAAACGCACCTCGAACACAAGAAATGTATGCCAGGCGTTGTTCGAACTGAATTCATGCAGCTCAAACAAAAGAAATTTATGTCAGACGTTGATCGAACTGAATCATAAGAAGAACAGGCGCAAAGCGGACTGAATTGATCAAGAGCAAAGGGGAAGCGAACTGAATTGATTAAGAACGAGTGTGAATCAATTTCACAAGGACGGGACATCTCATCCGATGGTGGAGAATCAGGCCCAAATTCATACAAAAAGGGAACAAAGAATGCAGCTGCTGCATAAACACCTAAAGGCAACAGCTACAGAGTCCATCATTGTGCTGCCCGCGACCCCTGACTCTGCCTCTTTGACACCATGCACAGTGCTGTCCACCACAGATGAGCTGACAGTAGATCATCAAGGCAATCTGTGACCTGCTGAGCCACAAAAAGAGTGGTGTGCTGACCTTCCTTTCCCATTTGTCCCAGTTCCCGTTCCCATGCGTCCCAGTTGCCTTTCCCATTTGTCCCAGTCGCAAGCAGTCGATGCGTCAGACTCTTGCTGAGGGGAAAAGGAAGAAGGCCACACCCAATGCACAGGCGCTTTCATGTAGCATGCACCGAGGGACAGAAGGCAAATCCGTTGCTGAGTGAGAGGTCCGCCATCATCATAGGGCAACCACTTGCTGATCCATGGAGCATACAGGGGGAGACCGACCATCCATTCTCGGGGAAGTCGTCTGTCAAAAAGCGCAAACACACTTCCATCATGACGACATAAAGAGTGAACGTGGCCAGCCGTTACGCAATTGCGAAGCACAGTGGGGAATGTACCTAGTCTTGCTGGAAGAAGCGCAGGCGACAGAGAATAGCAGGGAACGAGCACAGGAGAGAGAGGGAGGGAGGGAGAGAGAGAGACAGAGACAGAGAGAGGGACAGAGAGACATAGAGAGGGACAGAGAGAGCTCATCGGTGCTTGACTTTGCTACGATGTTCATCTTTGATATGGCAAGCGAGCGAGAAAGCTGTGGCTAGGGTTCGGCTGTGATTACGGTTCAAGCTACTACATGAGGGTCTGGTGGACTAATCACTCCATATCCTGATCTTTCGGTTCCTCGTCCTCTTCTAGATCGTACAATAATACCCGTCGTTGGTGTGTGAACACACACGCCAAGCCCCTAGTTGCACTCACTGCCAGCGGTGGGGCGGCTGTGTGACCACGAGCTAGTGCCCTTGCTTTGCAATCCGCCAGCCCAATGTTCACGACTGCACCTGATGCCAGGCATTTCTGCAGAATGTTGGTGGCTGGTATATTAGCCGTCAAGATGCTCAGATCTAACGGCTGAAATGGAAGTTCAGCAATGGGTAAAAGCATCAGCCAGGACACGCTGCCCCCTCCTCCGGCAATTCTTTTGTGTGCACTTTGCTGATTACTGTCCGTCACAAGCAGAGCCAAGTGGTGCTCTTTGTAGAGTGCCAGATCCACGAGTCTGTACTCCGGGTCAAGCCGCACAGCTACTCCCTCCCAACAGCCGCTTGCCGTCCCCTTGCTGCGAGTTTCACTCAACACCCTTGTCACTCTCACAATGCCAATTGGAAAATCCACCCCCTCATCGCCACCGGCCTGGTCCACGAGACCTTGGAAACACATGTACTCATTCCACTTGGAAAATTCCCCACCTTGGCAGTCCCTTGCATCGAGAACATAGAAGCCCTTCGACAACGGCAGCGGGTGCTGCGAGCCAGACTTCGTGGGTGTGATGCTTGGTGGACACGCAGCAGCATGTGGGAGAGGCGACGGAGCTATCGGTGGTGTCGAGGGTGATGGTGGCAGTGAGTTTTCCGCAAGTGGTCCTTTGGGCATGGGGGTGGCCGGTGGCGATGTATTTGCAAGCAACAGAGCTATGAAGGGGTGAAGAGTTGGAGAGATGGCGTTTGTTGGATTGCTAAAGGCTTGAGTGCAATGCTGGCCCAAAAGCCTGAGCTGCTGCCTCAGCGTACGGCACAGAAAGCCTGTGTCAGAGAATCCGCCCATCAGCGCAAGATCTTCCACCAGCTCTCTGTCCTCCGGGGACAGCTCAACCTGCACAGCCTTATCAGGATGGGCAAGTTGCAATCCCATCTCGTCAGAAGCAAACCGTTTTTGAAGGAACTCAGTGACTGCAGAGGTGCTGACATGTGGAAGCATATCATTGGCTGGCCGCCCGTCCTCATTGAGCTGCCGCAGATTTCGCAGCATCCACAGGAAAAATGTCCGGTACTGTGCACAGGAGTCCGACGTCAAGCGTATCATCCGCTCTCCCTGCACAAGGGCCATCCCCGCATGCTCAAGGGCGGCTTCAACAGCATCTTCGTTCAATCCGACGACTAGCGTTCTCTTTGCCCATCTTGCTAACGATAAGAGTTCACCAAGCCTGAACATGATCAGCTCCAATGCTGGCTGCGTACTGTCAACCATAAGCGAATGTACAGACAGCCCTGCATTTTCAATGTTCTTCGCCAATCTCTTCAGGCCTTGCTCTCGCAGAGTGACAGCCAGAAATTGGTGGAGAGAGGGGCTTGCCTGGCCACAGGACAACATGGCCAAAAACTCGTCCCTCGGCTGATGGGTGGATATGTTGCTCGCAAGCAATTCGGAGAAGGCCTTCATCTTCTCCCCAAATGCAGACATCGCATCCGCCCACTGCTTCTCTGCGGCAGCAATTGATCCATTGATGAGGTCCAGCAACTCTGAGACCCTCGTCGCCTGGAACGCCATCTGCCGCAATTCCCCCATCCTGTCCCCGATGATCGAGGTGTTGATACATATGCAGTACAGACCCTCGGCACGCTGCGAGGGAGGAATGCTTCCGGAGCCCATGCGCCCTCGGCAGAGCACAGTCATCGTTTTCATGTCAGGTGACAAGGATATCTCAAGAGCAGACGCATGGAGCAAGCGCTGGGAAGAACCTTTTGTGCCTGTCATCTCCTTGTCGTTGTCATCATCACCTCCTCTCGGGAAGATGCAATCCTGCAGTGAAATTTTTCCGATGGGGAAAGCCCCGAACACACTTAGAGAGAGGACGCCATCGCAGTCCCCGCTGCACAGGACATTGAACAGCGAAGGAGCCGACTGCCCCGCGCCACCCACCCCCACTCCATTCTCATCCCCGTCTGAAGGCCCGACCTGTTTGATGTCGAAGACATCGCGGGGTGCGGTGCCAGGCATTGGAGAAGCTTTGGGAGGAGGAGGGAAAAGCCGTGAAGTCCGATCCTCATAGGTGAAGATATCACTCTCGTGCCCGTGTAAGGACACATTCTGCTCCGCCCAGAGTAAGCACTGCACACTCGCATCATGCGCCTGCGTCCGCCTGATCACATCTCCCTTCTCCACGTCGTAGATGGCTATCGACCCATCATCATGACCAACCGCAAGTGCCTTCCCATCAGGCCTCCAGCATAGTGCTGTCACATTCCCCTCTGGCGATTGTGCCCAAAGCCTCTGCCAGTTCAGACGGTGAACGACAATCTGATGATCTGACGTGGCAAGGGCAATCAAATCCTTGTCGCGATCCCAGGCCGCCACATGGACGCGACACGTGACGCTCTTGTCGCTAAGCAGAGAGAACTTCATTCCCTCCTCCTGGCTCCCTTCCCCCTCCTCTTCATATTCTTCGTCATCTGCCATGACGCCTTCCACAGCTGTGTAGTAGTCGCCCCCACACCTCAGAAAGAGGTCCCACCCTCAACAGTGAGATGGAGATTATGGGCGTCTTCACAAAAGGGTGCGAGGGTCACATCATCCCAACCGACGTGCTGCGCTGCGTGAATATATGTGTGAGAAAAGCCAAGAACAGTGGAAGAAGGGAGTTGGCCCCGCTGAGTCAGTAATATAGGCAGGCGTTTCTACTCCACCACTCTCTGAGCAATTAGCTTCCAAAAATAGATCTCCTACCGAACATCAACCTCACAAAACGTGCAAGGGGAAAGAACATAACTACATCACATCAAACTCACCAAGCAAAGCGTGCAAAGGGCACGGACCTTCCTCTATCATGATTAGCACACTGTTAGCCAAACCAGATAACGACAAAAGTTTATCGAAACAAGCGGGATCAGCCAAAGGGCACGTACCAGCAACGAGAAGAAGAAGAAAAGAAGAAGAAGAAGAAGAAGAAGAAGAAGAAGAAGAAGGAGCAAGTGAGATCGTTGGCAAGCGGTAGTCATATGCCAGGATGGTGGTATTACGCTATTTTACTATGTGCTATAAATAGCAGCACAGGTTCACAGCACAAAAGCGCTACTGCCCATGAACTTCGGCCTTACTATAAATAGCATCAGAGGTCTGCAGCGCTCAGAAGGCCCCACCTACTTGGGCAACGACCCAATGCTACTCCGAGCTATACCATCTTCCCTGGAGGTCAATATATAACAGTACCTCAGTGTCATTGTCAAGTCAGATGCAGATTTCATGACTACATGTACCTCAGCGTCATTTTCAAGTCAGATACAGATTGCACGACTACACGTTCTGTTTTCAAACGGCAGATGGTAGAACGTAGCCACGGATAGTAGCAACTTAGCTGTATATGAGCTCAACGAGAACAGAAATCTCGTGTGAAGAAAAAGCGCAAAAGCTCATTTGATTGTGATTTCCAGTACGAATACAAACTGTGAGCGCCCCCGACATCTCCCAACCCTTAAAAAAAAAAAAAAAAAAAAAAAAAAAAAGTGAGAGCATGGCCTATCGACCCCTTAGCGTTTCAGGACTTGAAGCTAGAGGTGTCAGAAAAGCTACCACAGGGGTAACTGGCTCGTGGCAGCCAAGCGTTCATAGTGACGTTCAAAATTAAAAAAAAATAAAAAAATAAAAAAAGGCAGAGAGCGAGGGGGAGGGGGAAGGGGAGGGGGATAGCGCCGAAATCAAAAGCCATACACAGGTCATTCAAGAGCAAAGCTTCAGCTGGAAAAGAAAAATTCAAAAATTCAGCCAAAGAAACAAGTTGTTCTGCGAAACAACCGACATGTTTGTCGTTGTTGGTGAAACAACAAGCATATTCCCCCGTTGACATCAACAACAACAACAACAACAAAAAAAAAAAAAAAAAAAAAAAAAAAAAAAAAAAAACACGAAACGCAGCCTCATCTGTACCTCACCAAATGCACTAAAAGACAGAAATTATGGGGTTCCATGTTTCCATGTCCTAGCCTAAGATTCATTCTCATTTTGCTAATTTGGTGAGCAGTGCGGCAAGGCCCATATTCCGGCCCCCCCCCCATTGAAAACAACAAGAACAACAACAACAAACTAAACGAACCCTGATCATGAAATGCACTGAAAGATTGCTGCCTACCGCCTTCCCCCAACCACAACGGACCCCCTCATCGTGAATGTATACAAGCTATCTTTCCAGTCCGATATCGTCAACATGAGGGTGCGTTCTGTTCGGGGGACAACGGTATGCTGTTGCTACTGGTCTATTAAGAAACCTGTCAATACGGCTTAGCCCCACAAAGTGTGTGCACTTTGCCCCATTCATAGATTACATTCCTGATGCACCCATAGATTACATACCCTGATGCACCCATAGATTACATACCCTGATGCACCCATAGATTACATACCCTGATCTATGGGTGTCAGCCCATCATCTGTTGGTACGCCTGATGCACCCATAGATTGCATACCATAAAATGTCGCAGCGAGAGAAGCCTTTATTATTTAATAAAATAAGACTTAGCGAGGCCAAACACGATTCCCAAGAAGGAGGAGGAGGAGGAGGAGGAGAAGAAGAAGCTACAAAGAAACAAAAATGGACCAAGCTAGGAAGGCAAAGAGCAGAAACAGAGGGGGATAGGAAAAGGGAGCCCAGTCGACCACAGAGCAACAGAAAAAAGGGAGGGAAGCCCATGAGGGGCGAAGAAGAAAGAGAGAAGGAGAAAGAGAAGGCAAGAGGGAGAAGAGAGAGGAGGGGGGGGGAGGGGAGGGGGGGAAGGGGATTGGATAGCGAAGAAGATAACAGCTTGCTGCATCAATATCTGCTGTGAATCTCGGCCACGGAAGATGGGCCTCGCTCCACTACACGACATTCCACGTGCACCTGGACTATACTGCAGACCAGATGCATTTCGACTAACCCAACATTTGAACGTATCTAGATCATTACCTGGGCCCGATACGTCTAGACTATTGTGTAGTGGAGCGAGGCCTGATGAGTGGAGGGTAGGTAGATCGGCCAGAGATCAGAATCAACGGCTTACTGTGCATGCCCCGGAGAAGGCTACCCGGTAGCTACGACGACAGGAGGAACAGAGGGGAAGAGAGGGTAGGAAAAGAGGCAGAGGCGGAAAATGAGGGAGAGAGTTCGAGAGCCGTTGGATAGCAAGGCATGAAAAAGATAGAACTTTCTGCGCATTTTATCCGTTCCGTTCCGTTCCGTTCTGAAGCTCCGTCACAGCAAACGATTGGATGATAGCAGAGCGGCGACACATCAGTCTTTTTTTATAAAATAGGACTTCAAGATGACAGATAGACTTGCCAGACAAGGAGGAGAGGGAGGAAGAGAGACAGAGGAAGAAAGGGAGGAAGAGAGAGAGGAAGAGAGACAGAGGAGAGGGAAAGAGCCGAAGGAAGAGATGGAGCAGGAGAGAATGGAGGAGAGGAATGGCGGAGAGACAGAGGAGAGGGAGGAGGAGAGGGAAGAGGAGAGGGAAGAGGAGAGGGAGGAAGAGACGGAGGTGGAAAGGGAGGAGAGAGAGGAAGAGAGGGAGGAAGACAGTGGAGGAAGAGAGGGAGGAAGAGAGGGAGGAAGGGAGTCCGAGGAGGAGAGGGAGGAAGAGAGACAAGAGTAGAGGGAGGAGTAAAGGGAGGAGAAGAGGGAGGGGAAGAAGTGTGGGTGAACGAGTGAGCGATAGAGAGGTTGGGAACTGGATGTAGCGAGAGAGACAGGCAAGCTCATGGAATATGAGGACGAACTCGTCTCACCTGTGGCTTGCATGAAGAGGAATGGACAGCTTTCCTAACACAGGCTTGATACTAGGGTCAACAGAGACATCTTTTCGGATGGCCGTCTCGTAGAATCGTTTAGCAGCCACCAAACCTAGCAGTCCCCCGCACAGGGAGACTGCCGTTTCCATGTCGACTGTGCTATCGCCACGCTGCACACAGAGAGAGAGAGAGAGAGAGAGAGAGAGAAAAGAAAGTCACCTCCTTTTTGTTCCTATCCACGTGTCGCGCATCCAAAATCCCTGATCTCTCTGTTTTCCAAATTGCACACGTGCCCCTTTAAAAGATTATGAGTCGCAGCCGATAGCTTCTGCTAGGTCAACCAACGCCCATATAGCCATCGTTTTGGGATCGGCTGCTCTCTCTCTCTCTCTCTCTCTCTCTCTCTCTCTCTCTCACACACACACACACACACACACACACACACACTGCCTGCTGCCCCTAACCTGTTTCATCCGACAATTCGATCACGCATGCTGTGATATAAATATACCATATCATTTAATAGTAATTTTCAAATTTCACCAGCACCAGAATCATTTAATAAATTTTAGATAAATTTCACCATCACCAGAAATCTAGGCTACTTGTCTTGCCCGGCCGCCGCCCGGGGCTCACCTGCAGGAGGCAACCCCGTGCAGACAAAATCAGCCCTTTTTAGGGGGCAGGGTAGGTGGAGGTTTTCTGAGTATGGACAGAGGAGGCCAAATCGGGGCTCCTTTCTTTTTTCGAACGTTGGCTTGTCAATGGGGAGGAAGGGGGGTGTAAGTTGGTTTTTAATGGGCTAAAGGGGTTTTAAGGGGGGGGGGGGGGGGGGCTTAGTCTGATTCTGGGAAGGACAAAATTGTTTTCTTATTTATCTTCGATCCCGTGAAGAGTTCTGACGTGACCCTCAGCCAAAAGCCGTTTGTATTATACAATCCTACACAACACTTTTTTTAATGTTTTTTTTTTTTTTTTCATTTTTTTCTTCTTGGGCGCTGCGGCTGCCAGGACCCCTGCCTGAGCTTCATGCCCGGCTAGGCACCCGGACGTGCATCCGGGCACAAGTTGGACGCCCGGACGCCCGGACAAGCAGCCTAGCCAGAAATAAGAATTAAAAAGAAGCCAAAAAAAAAGGGAAAAAAAAAACAAAGAATAATAAAAGGAAGCCACTGCCTACCAGCACTGAAGCAACCATAGCCAGAGGTTCTGAATTACCCGAAGCAAGAAAGAAAAAAAAAAAGTGGCTCATCCTTCATGACTTTAGCCCTTTTTTCATCCCATTCCCTTTTTTTCTCCTTTTCTTTTCCTGTTTTTCCTTTTTTTTTCCTTTTTCTTCCTTTTTCTTCCTTTTATTCTTTTTTTTTTCATTTCTTTTTCCCCCATTCCCTTTCTTTTTACAGCCTGGATCACAGGCTGAAGAGTTGCATCTTTCCCACCCTCTCCCTCGAAAGGGGGGGCGGGCCTGTCCCCCCTCCTGGTGTCCCCCAGGAATCCAGCCCCCCTCCTCCCCCCCCCCACCCCACCCCAGTAAAAGCGAAAGCTTAGTGGAAGGAAGAGGTGGTTGGGTTACTTTTTTTTTTTTTTTTTTTTTTTTTTAGTTGGGTTACATGCTATCTCGACATCGGTATTTTGCTCATCATCAGCCGAAGCCCGGTAATGAACCAGGTAATGTTTAGCTTTGCCTACCGTCTTCACCCGAATAGAACGCCCGGTCATCATAGCCGTATTTGGTGCAACTTTCAGACTAGATACCTTGATAATGACGGGACGTCATATTCGGGTGAAGACGCCTACCGTCTTCACCCGAATAGAACGCGTATTAGGTGCAACTTTCAGTCTAGACAAGATGAACTGTTGCGGCTTCGCTCGCAAAGCAAAAGAAGTCGCATGGCATTAAGAGGGGTGTGGCAAGGGGAGGGGGTGGGGGAGAAAGAGGGCGTTGCGGCCCTCGTGCTGCGCTTTCTCACCTGACGAATGTTAGGCTTCTTTTGGAAGGTGTCGTCTTACCTCAGGTGTGGCGTTTGAGATTCGTCGGCCTGCGCCACCGCCTCCGGCCTCGGCCTCCTCCCACCTCCCCTCTGCCTCCCCCCGCCAGATCCTCTCTTTCCTCCCCCGCCTCCGCCACCTCCCCTCCACCTCCTCCCATCCGCCTCATCCCGCCATCTCCTCCCGCGATCTCCCCTCGCCAACTCCTCTCCGCCAACTCCTCTCCGCCTCCGCCTCTCTATCCCCTGTGTGTGTGTGTGTGTGTGTGTGTGTGTGTGTGTGAGAGAGAGAGAGAGAGGGAGCGGCCTGCGCCACCGCCTCCGGATTCGGCCTCCGCCCACCTCAGCTCGGCCTCCGCCCAGCTCCCCTTTGCGTCCCCCCGCCAGATCCTCTCTCTCTTTCCTCCCCCGCCTCCAACACCTCCCGTCTGCCTCCTCCCGCCATCTCCTCCCGTGATCTCCTCCCGCCACCTCCTCTCCGCCTCCGCCTCCCTATCCCCTGTGTGTGTGTGTGTGTGTTGTCATATTCGCTATACACTCAAAAAAAGCATGACTGCTGTGCCAGACTGTTTCGTCGGACTTTCACCGACTCATCAGGAGGTTGAACCCCGACAGTCTGCCCAGGATGCATTTGACTGATGGATAAGGACTCACCACTTCGCCCAGAGTTTGTGTGTGTGTGTGTGTGTGTGTGTGTGTGTGCGCGCCCAGAGTTAGTGTGTGTGTGTGTGAGAGAGAGAGAGAGAGTGATCGCGGCCTGCTCCATCGACTCTGACCTCGGCCTCCACCCACCTCCGTTCCGCCATTTGGGATCTCCCATCTCCCATTGCCTTCCCCCCACCTCGCGTCCGCCTCCTCCCGCCATCCCGCTGCACATCGCGCTGTACGCGCCAACCCTCCCTTCCGCCATTGGGATATCCCATCTCCCCTTGCCCTCCGCCCACCTCGCGTCCGCCTCCTCCCAACATCCCCGCCTCGGCCCCCGCTGACCGAGATTTCACCCTCCCCTCAGGTTCCCTCCTCCCCCTCCTCTTCCCCCTCCCTCTGTTGTCACACACACACACACACAACCCTCTCTCTCTCTCTCTCTCTCTCTCTCTCTCTCTCTCTCTCTCTCTCTCTCTCTCTCTCTCTCTCTCTCTCTCTC